GATGTCGTTTTAAACCCGCCGTCATTTTCTTTAAAGTATCCTCCAGGTCAATGACGCCTATATATACCCGCCGTCATTTTAACCATGTACTTTAAAGTATCCTCAGGGATAATGACGTCGTTATAAACCCGCCGTCATTTAGACCACGTACTTTCAAGTATCCTCAATATAAATGACGTATATAAAAAAAAAACTCCGTCAATTTGACCACGTACTTTAAGTCTCCTCAAGGTCAATGAAGCCTATAAATACACGCTGTCATTTTGATCACGTATTTTAAAGTATCTGCAAGTTTTATGACGTCTATATATAGACGCTGTCAGCGTGATGAAGAACTGTAATTAGAGTACACGCAAGGTATATCACGTTATTTAAAACTACCAATAGCTTGAAAGCGTATTAAAAAGTAAGGCTAAACTGTCGTGAAAACACGCCGTCGGGTAGCGGGGCATTAAATAATTCTTTGATAAACGCAATTCTATTAAAAAACAAGGACAACCAATGTTGACGACGTCATATTCTATTCTTAGAATCTCGGTTAAAAGTCCTAATTCGTTATAATAATGCGGTCATTTAAATTAACACATAAAAGATGATTTTTTATGTCTCATTTTGCTTTGATTAAAAGATGCAACCCACTTCTCATAGCCGTGTTCCCGCCGATGATGAGTTCTCTTTTTGGGGTAATTGCGGAGTTTGAGACGCGTGAACAAGAGTGATTTAGTAAATGGTGTACTTCTCAGCAGAAGTAACAAGTCATCGGTCCTCGCACTGTCACAGACTACGGTAGTATTAATATTAATACCCGGCCTCCTCCGACGGTGAAGTATTTATAATAAAAAATGTCTCGTCTTTAAAAGCTACGTGTTCGCAGATAAGACTCTGGTCGGCACCTGCTAATAACAAGGTGACAGTACATTTTCTCAAAGCGTCCCCGAGATTCTCAAATACAATGCAAATACCAAAGAAAAAAATTACATTATTATGTACACGAACTCTCTTCTCAAATAACTGATCAATAAAAATAACGGGTTTTTTACAGTTGAAATTTGTTGATGTCCCCAGTAATGCAATGTTTAATTTTCAAAGTTAAAGGCCTAAATAATAAAGGCAAGAAAAAAATTGTATGTTTCAAGTACACCGACCGAAACTAACAATTTTATCTCTCTAGAATGCACTTAAACTTCCCATTCAAACTTGCCAAAAATTGTAAGCTTTATTATGAAATCTCTATTTCACAGACAGGAATAAAAAAAAAAAGGCGATAAAAAAAAACAAAGTTAAATCCAATAATCTCTTTTAAAAGATTTACAAATATGATGAAAAATGAATACACTTGGTCTGAATAACTTTGTTTTGTTATTTTTTGTAATTTCTTAAAATACCCCCCACCAACAACCTCTAACTATGTCGGAAAAGTGATATTTGAACACGGTCTTTTAACGCACAGTTTTGAATAAGCAAATGATGAAATTGTTACCTGCTACATGTATTCGAGGAAACTGTAATGACATGCTTCAAATGCCCGTTGGATATATATCACAACTAATTATATAAGCGCAAGGCTAACAAGACTGACTGAAGGAGGGAAAAAGCATGCAAAAGATGACGTGTATGATTTGTCACTGTCAACGCAACAGGTTCTCGCGCAGACGATCAATCGTGGCACGCCTTGTACTTTTCGAAATCACAGGGACCTGAGATATTTGGACCAAAACTAAGGTGTTCAGAGTAATTTTACACGTTTTAGGGGTTAAGATAAACTTTCGGTATAAATGCCTTACTTAAAATTACTCTGAATACCTTAGTTCAGGTCCAAATATATAGATGTAAGAAATTATCAAGTCCCTGTGCTCGATATACATGTCATCATTCTGAAAATTTGAAGCATTTTTCTAAAGTTTTCTCGATATTTTCACTACATGATTACTTCAGAAGTACATATATATATTAAGTATTTTATTATTTGTTATACTCGAGCTATAGCTGTGCGCGTGCACAGAATCCTGTAATCAAATGTCACTGCGCAGATAACACTAACAACCCGGTGGATAATGATGACATGATTTAAGATAATTTACACTACATAGGAAATTGCCCTTTAGATACCATGATAATTACACTTTGACCATCTGTCATATAGCATATTAGCGTACATTCCACTCATTTTCATCTATTTTCGAGGTTAACAACTTCAGGTTTTCTATTGTACCTTTGTGGACTGGTAGATTTAGCTTAATCGGTAGAGCGGCAGACTGGTCAGCTGAAGGTCGCAGGTTCGATCGCCGGGGGAAGCTAGCACACTAACCCTTCTTATGATAACAGGGTGCTACATGTAGAACCTGGGTTTTGCTGTGGCCCAAGGGCCTTAACGGTCACCTGAGTTATATCATAGCTTTATTTTATTGCTTAGATGTGATGTGGAAATCAGCATGTAAACTAAGTGAAATACAATACTTGTCATGTCGTCAAAGGATAAGAATTTTTAAATATTGGTAAATGTTCCCATTGGGGCCCCGCCCTAACCCCAGGGAATGGGGCAGGAATTCCAATTTTACAATGTATTACCCTCATCCACCAAAGATGATTCTGACCAAGTTTAAATAATTTTCTGCTGAAAATGGATAAAATATACCCACAAGTGTTATTTCCCCTTCATAAACTATAGTAAACGTTACCCCCTCCCCAATTTCAATAAAGCCCCTGATGATCTTTCCATCCATGCAGAGAAAATGACTGTAGTACCTCTGAGTCTGGAGAAGAAGATTTTTGAAATATTGGTTAATTTTACCCTATGGGGCCCACCCTGGCCCCAAGGGTTTGGGTAGGAATCCCGATTTTACAATTTAAAACCATCTTCCTCCAAGGATAATTCTCACCAAATAAGAATAATTTCATACAGAAAGTTGTAAAAATATACACAAAAGTGTTGTTTCCCTATATAAACAATAGTAAACTTTACCCCCTCCCAAAGGGAAAACGGATAGCTCGGGGGTCCTGAAATTTACAATTTAAATAAAGCCCCTGATGATCTTTCCATCCATGCAGAGAAAATGACTGTAGTACCTCTGAGTCTGGAGAAGAAGATTTTTGAAATATTGGTTAATTTTACCTTTGGGGCCCCGCCCTGACCCTAGGGTTTGGGTAGGAATCCCAATTTTACAATTTAAAACCATCTTCCTCCAAGAATAATTCTCACCAAATAAGAATAATTTCATACAGAAAATTGTAAAAATATACACAAAAGTGTTGTTTCCCTATATAAACTATAGTAAACTTTACCCCTTCCCCAAAGGAGAACGGATAGCTCGGGGGTCCTGAAATTTACAATTTAAGTAAAGCCCCTGATGATCTTTCTTTTCATGTAGAGAAAATGACTGTAGTACCTCTTAGACTTGAGAAGAAGATTTTTGAAATATTAGTTAATTTTCCCTTTGGGGCCCACCCTGGCCCCAGGGGTTGGAGTAGGAATCCCAATTTTACAATTTTGTAGCCTCATCTACCAAGGATGATTCTGACCAAGTTTGAAAAAATTCCATCCATTGGTTCTTGAGAAGAAGTTGAAAATGTAAAAAGTTTACGCACGACGGACGACGACGGACGGGAAATTATCGGAATAGGTCACTTGAGCAAAGCTCATGTGATCTAAAAAGGGGATAGTAGTGTGGCAGATTTTAATTGTACATAGAATTACGGTCGCCTTCTAGCTTCACGCTAGAGGCAATTTCTCTAGCTCAATCAGTAGAGCGGCGGACTGGAAAGCTAGAGGTCGCGGGTTTGATCCACGGTGGAAGCACGCTTCTGTCTTTCCGGTTGCGAATTGTGTCCGTGGCCCTCCGTGTCGTGACAGGGAGTTAGAACCTGGGTTGTGGTCATTCATCCAAGACACTTTCAGGTCAAATGTCATGAGCATGTAGTCTGGATGGTTCTTTTAAAGCAGTTGATTTAAGATTTTAACTAATTCAATCTATGTTATCTTAAATTATGGTCAGTGTCATTTACTTGAACGGCTTTGATAACCTTTTCCCGTAGTGACTTTCAGGTAGAACAGTCAATTAAAGATGTCAACGTTTCTGATCCCTGTGACCTTGAATGAAGGTCAGGGTAATTTGTTTTTAGTTTTGATAGGCCTTCTTTCATATCTCACAGACCCAGATCTTCTGCAACAGGAGCGAATTAATTTATGTGTTTTAAAATATTTAATCCGTGACCTTGCATGGAGGTCAAGGTAATCTATTTTTACAACTTTGATAGGGTTTTTTCCATGATTCCTACTTTCATATCTCACAGACCCAGATCTTCTGGAACAGGAGCGAATTAATTTATGTGTTTTAAAATATTTAATCCGTGACCTTGCATGGAGGTCAAGGTAATCGATTTTTACAACATTGATAGGTTTTTTTCCATGCTTCCTACTTTCATATATCACGTACCCAGATCTTCTGGAACCTAAGCAAAGTAATTTAAATGTCTTTAAATATTTGATCTGTGATATTGAATGGAGGCCAAGGTCATTTATTCTCACAACCTATAGCTACTGGTCCTATATATATCATGAACTAGGTCTTCTCAAATTTAAGCAGAAGCAATATTAAGATTTCAGCATATTAAACCCTTTCACATAGAATGAGTATAACACAGTAAAAAAAGTAAATTTTAAACATTTAAAATGGTATTGGGCTTGATGTCTCTTCCAAATCACCAACAAATTGCTTTTTTTTTTATTAATCTATCAATGGAACAAGAAATTGGACTTGTGCACAGAACTCGAGTTTGAGTATGAGAACGATTTCATGAATATGGGCCCCAGGACTATTTATCAAAATAATTGTCAGTCCTTACACCTAGCTACCAGATCCAGTCAAATTCAATGGTACCCGGCTTTATGATTCTGAAGATGTTGAATTTTCTTTTGAACAGATGGATTGATTCCAGTATTACACCACCACCCTCTAGAATTATATTGCAATGAAAATGAAAATACTAGAACACAGTTCAGAGTGTGAAAGTTTAATACCAAGGGAATTGTCAACAGCAGAAGATTATATAACATTGAAAAATGATCATCAAACTTGACATTTAACAGAAAGCATACAAGAAAATGGCAGGATAGATTTACAATTTAAGAGCAAATTCATTAAAAACTATAAGTTACATTACAGCTAAATGACTACAATATTTTGTATGGCAGGAATCTCGTTAAGAATTTATGTTGTATGATATGTCAAAATTGAATTACTACTTGATATAAAGGAATGTTATTATAGTAACACAAGAACTATAACACAAAAAAACGGGGTGTACTCTCATCACAAACCCCTTCGCGGTTTATTTAGAGTACACTCCCTTTTTCTGTGTTATAGCTCCATAACATTAAAAATATATTCAAGTTATTCCTTAAATAAACAGAATTTGAGCAACTCAATGCTGTTTTTTAAATCATATAGTATTTTTTGGGAAAAAACGTCTCACTTTCAATACATACTTTATGTTGTGAACATTCGACTCATTGATTTCAATAATGAACCAATTTGTCAATTATGGAATTTGTACGTAATAATCAGAATCGAAAAGGAAAAAACGATTAATTTTCGATTATAATTGATCATTAGCCCATTACTTCTTTTTACCTTTATTCAATAATCTGGGTTTATCTAAAACATTTTCATTTCTACTGAACTTCGACTCAACATAACTACTTAAAATTTTATAGGTTATAATACAATGAACTTTCCAGTTGACGCAGTTCATAAAATTTATCTTAAGACTCACAACAGGATTCAATCCTTAACTGACAAGCAGTAAAGCGTTATGTTGATTACATGGTTCCAGCACCTCAAAATATCCTTAAAAAGATTGTATACATTTCTATAGCGACAGGCTCCAAGGGATTATAAACAAAAAAATAGAGCCATTTTAATTGTAATTTTAAACTTGATAGGAAAGCAATTAAATGGAACAGGGCTAAAGAGAAAAAGTCTTTCAAAGGAAATTGACAGACTTGGGGGTAGGGGATATCAGAAGCCTTGAACCCCTATATATCCCCTGGATCCACGCTGTTACTTCATAAATGATTGTTAGTGAATTAGAACTCATTAACCCCTGATGACACATTTGAACTCTTCCAATTCAAAGGTTGGAATAGTTCATGATGAAAACTCAGGGGTGAATGAGTTGATCTAATACATGAGTAAAAACATGTGTTTACAAAAAAATAAAAAGAATGGTAGACTGAAACTGTTTTCCCATCAACATAGGAACTAACAAGCACTTTCAGTCAAATTTTATTTTCTCTTGTAAAATATTGACATACACACCCAACCAGGTGATTGGCACATCCACAAATAAAAATTGTTATCGGGGAAATCTACACAAAATGGTTTGTCATCCTTTCCTTAATGTCAGCATGGACAATTTCTGATTGATTAAAGAAAGGTACAAATTACCATATCTTTCAATCAATTGTGCTTAAAGATGAAATATATATCTTGCTTTGTTCATTTGTGATTGAATTTTGCACATTTTTCGATCAATATTGTGATGCTGTCTGAAGCACAACTCTGGAAATTAACAAATACAAGTAAATAATTTTCAAAAACCAGAGGTCTTTGGGGCTGTAGAAACATCCCCCATATCTGCCTCGGACGGCAAGAGTTGTAGAGCATACACCATGCATTAAGTGGTTGCCGTTGACCTTTGGTAAAAATAAATGTAACTTGATCCAATAACAATACACAACCATCAATATAAAGTAGAGTGAAACCTGTCCAATCTGACACTTTGTGAGATCCAACACATTGACTGCAATAGACAAAGTGTCAGAATACAGAGGTTTTATCTTGTAATTATGTAAGAAATGGGATTCCAGTTGTTTGCAGGATATGACTTGATGTCAGAACAAGTGGATGTTGGATTAGACAAAATGTCAGAAAACTAAGGGGGCAGACTGGACAGAATGTCAGAATAATCAGGGGTCAGATTAGGCAATTTTTTATGTTAATTATCAAGTATAAAATTCATAACAATTTAATTGTGAAGGTGTTTCACACAACTTTAAGTGACAGTGTCAAGAAAAAAAAAGAAAAAAAAGAAGAAGAAAAACCACATTGACTTAAAAAGTCTCTCACCTAAAACTTTCAAATAATCTCGAAACTTTTAAGATAATATTCTCATTTCCACAACATTCATTATTATGCGTAGTCAATTTTAATGGACCCATGGTTTCAATTTTAATCAGATTTAAATGTTAATTCACAGCCCAAGCAAAATATGAGGCATCAAGTTTAGTTTTGGCATTTATTGTTCATTGAAGATGTGCAAAGTTCAATAACACTGAGCAAGGTAGACTAACCATATGATAATGTTGTATATATTTACAACCTTTATGTAAATATTGGTCAACACCATTAAATTAAACCATCCAACAATAGATACCAGCAACTGTAAACTTCTCTAAAAACAACAACATTAAAAAGTAAGAAAAATTTACGATCAAAATGACAATATTTAACATTTAAATATCATTAACTTTTAACAATTTTCTGAATACAGCATAAATTATATTTATCACATATTAACAACATTCCAAGTCAAAATTTAGGTACATAATGAAAAAAACTTGTAAAGTGAAACCTTTTTATAATAGAACTAGTTTTCGTTCAGAGAAGACAGCGCTGTAAAGCCTTCATTCACAGCACAAGAAAAGATGCAACATGACAGCATTGCCAAAAAATCAAGTTTAACAAGAGCATTTCGTCATACTAGTATCTATAAATGTTTAAATATAAGTCTATACAGTACAACATTCCTTAAGAAATATACGGGTAACATGATATCAAGTCAAAACCCAAAAGAAGTTTCAAATTTCCCTCCTAATTTGTAGATATGTACGTTAAGTTTATCCATTTGAAGATCTTCTAAAGTGAAAGGTAATTTTTACATGTTAACTCTTAAAATACAAATTTTCTCAAATTTATTTTTTGCAATCTTTTGGACAACACTAAATCTCTAACTACTAAATGACACTTGTAATATCTAACTAACATGTAATTTAAATCGGAATTTATTTCTACATTGACAAAATCGATATCAGTTGTATTGATCGAATTTCAGAATTTATCTAATTATAACCTACATTTACATTAATTAGCGAATTAATTGCCAATAAGGGCGAGGAGTAGTTTCTCGTAGTCTCCCCTAGTGTCTCCAGCGACGGCTGTACGGAGAGTTTTATGATGGTGGACCAGGTATTCCTCCTTAATATCCTGCAGATCAATCTGTGAAATGAAGAAGACAACATGTTTATTATGGTGAATTTGATTTAAGAATTCTTGTCCAACTGCAGGGTCGCTTTTTTTTATCGTGACCCAAACAGTTGAACCAGAGTTGTTCGTTTATGAAAGATGGTCAGACTTAGTAATCTGATGCTGCTTTAAGGCAAGCCTTGACAAATAATAACATATAAATAATAATATACAACATTTGACATAGCTCCCTATATAGCTAGAATAAGCCACTTTAAAGTGCTCTACCGTACAAAGATATACAATTTATACATTCAATACAATTAGCATATACATCAATCAATATATTCAAAGCCTCGCAAGGCCTGCCTAAACATTTGCAGGTCCGCCTGGATTAATATGGGAAATGTTACATTAAAAAACAATCAAACCTGATGAACTGGATACCCGAAAGGGGCCCAGGTAAAACACCAGAGAATTCCACTTTTTTTTTACGTAATCTCCTTTAAATTTTGTTTCAGATATAACTGTGCAGGATAACAGAGCCAGGTTACCACCATTCACCAGGCTTAGCTCAGTAACAGAAACCTCTCTTTAATTTTGTTTCAGATATAACTGTGTAGGATAACTGGGCCAGGGTACCACCATTCACCAGGCTTAGTTCAGTAACAGTAACCTCCTTTTAATTTTGTTTCAGATATAACTGTGCAGGATAACAGAGCCAGGTTACCACCATTCACCAGGCTTAGCTCAGTAACAGAAACCTCTCTTTAATTCTGTTTCAGATATAACTGTGTAGGATATCAGGGCCAGCGTACCACCATTCACCAGGCTTAGTTCAGTAACAGTAACCTCCCATTAACTTTGTTTCAGATATAACTGTGTAGGATAACAGGGCCAGGGAGCCACCATTCACCAGGCTTAGTTCAGTAACAGTAACCTCCCTTTAATTTTGTTTCAGATATAACTGTGTAGGATAATAGGGCCAGGGTACCACCTTTCACCTGGCTTAGTTCAGTAACAGTAACCTCCCTTTAATTTTGTTTCAGATATAACTGTGTAGGATAACAGGGCCAGGGTACCACAATTCACCAGACTTAGTTCAGTAACAGTAACCTCCCTTTAATTTTTTTTCAGATATAACTGTGTAGGATAACAGGGCCAGGGAGCCACCATTCACCAGGCTTAGTTCAGTAACAGTAACCCCCCTTTAATTTTGTTTCAGATATAACTGTGTAGGATAATAGGGCCAGGGGACCACCTTTCACCTGGCTTAGTTCAGTAACAGTAACCTCCCTTTAATTATTTTTCAGATATAACTGTGTAGGATAACAGGGCCAGGGAGCCACCATTCACCAGGCTTAGTTCAGTAACAGTAACCTCCTTTTAATTTTGTTTCAGATATAACTGTGTAGGATAACACGGCCAGGGTACCACCATTCACTAGGTAGTTTAGTTGGCTATAGTAACAGAGTTACAGGATCCAGGATTGTAATCCTAGTAAGGGCTTACTCTTTTTTGTTTATTCAATCTTTTCATAAAAGTTATTTAAGTTATGTGATTTTTTCAGGAATAATTCAACAAAACATAGTCAAGAACAGGACTGGGTTGACTGTCGGTGACCAGGTAGCTCAATTGAACCGCTAGTGTTCGGAGGGACCCAGGTTCAAATCCCGGTCTGGCTGTCTATTTTTCCACTCTAGTTGCAGTAGTGCCTGTGACCAACCCACGTTTTAAGCGTTAGGTGTATGCTTGGCAAGGGGATAGCCAAACCTAGGTTGTAAATATTTGTGTCTTTGGGGGGAGAAGACTTTAAAAAAAGGAGGGAGGAATGTAGTGGACCTGGACTGGATCGATCGTCAGCGACCAGGTAGCTCAATTGGTATAGCATCTAACTAAGAGTTAGAAGAATCCCAGGTTTGGACCCCCGTCTGGAATTTTTTGTGGCAGTAAAGTTTTGCCTTTTTTCCCCCCCCCGAGATCAAATGTAAGTAAACAATATACCCCATAACAACACTGGGCAAATATGGATTTTATCGTACAGGACAATTCTTTTTCGATGATTCTCGAAACTGTTTACTAGATGTTTAATTTCCCGGGGCTAATAATTTGCTGTTGTCGTCATCAGAAGTAGTTCAGGGGGATAAAATTTCGTGCAAAGTGACCAGGTTAACAAATCTTCACTCATTTCAGATTTGGGTGATGGGATTGTAATGTAAAATGCTCTGTTGAGTTGTTGTTTTATCTCCATTATTTGGCATAAAACTGATAATCAGATTTGTTCTGGTTGGTCTGAAAAAAGTATATGCATGGATGTGTTATAATTCATGAAGTTAATTTTCACTGGTTATTTCATTTCACACTATCTTTGGTGAGCACGAATATAGCGAAATTATATCCCTGGCGATAACTGTACGTATGCACATAGACTTTCCTTAACCCTTTCACCCCTATGTAACTTCAGTAAACTCTTTCATGCATTGATTTGGATGAGTCCATTATGGTCTACAGTGGTGAAAGGGTTAACTCAAAGCTTTACACCATTTGTTTACTTGCTGTGATCCATTGTTTTCAAACACACTTTAACTTCAAATAGATTTGCATTATATTATTTCATAAATTTGTTAAAATTTATTTTAAAAATAGAAAAGTGGCCAAAGGAAAACCAAATTCTATTTTTTTAACTTTAATACAACATTCACTCTAGAAATAACCAGCAACTGTGTTTCTACTTTAAAATGTACCAAATGAGAATATAACATAGTCCTTATGATAATTTATCCTTCAATAACAGCAACTTGATGTATTTTTTTTAACAGGTTGACAACATATTTTTATTCATTTACCTCAGATCTTGACACAATGATCCTGATTAGAGTCGAGTCCTTCGTTCCAAGTCCAGCCATAGACTTGTGCAAGAGGTCAGCAAAGTACTTCGGTCGATTCATTGCAGACGAGACTGTAAAAATCAAAAACCGAGAGATAAGGGGAAAGAAATGTAACTTCTTAAGTTCCATAATCTTCAAACCACTGCTCCTTTAATAGAGTATAGGGTGTACCACCGAATGACAAAAAGTCACACAATTAGTAAGACACATTTGCTCATTAGCAGAAGCTAATGAATCTATCTAAATATTCTTGCTCATCTTTTTCAAAGTTTTTTTAAAAGGAATTAAAAGGCATTGCAAAACTGTCACAAAATTATCAATGCTCAATACAAAAGTGAAAACCAGGTATGCAGATGAATGTGCATGTGAATAGAACAATGCATAAAGGAGCATTATATGGCCCATATATATTAGAGAAAGAGAAAAAACACGTCACTGGTGACTAAAATTGGCTGTATTAAGTTATTTGTAAATGATTATGATAATTGAACTGCAATGCAAGGTTAAAACAACAGCACTTTCAAATTAATTTTTAATAAATTTCTTTAATTTTTTCCATCAAGTGTTTAATAGAACCCTTAGGACACACTGTTTTAACAAAATGCATCAAAATACAGAAATGTTACAAGAAATTACTGCATTTGTACTTTGATATTCAGGAAAGCTGATTTTTTGTTTTAGATGTCATTATGTTGAAATGGGAGAACATAATGTTTATTTCATTGGACACAGATAGCTTCCCTTTGCCTTTATTTTTTTCCCATTAATTTTATGAAGTTCAAATGTGATGGCAGAATGAGAAAGAGCGCAACTTTCGTCAGATTTAACACAACATTCCCTTTTCACGATATGCAAATCTCGTATGACTCTCATCACATACACCAAATCTCCAATGATTTCGGTGAAAACTGTAGGACCAGTTTTGTTTACAACCTTATGTAAACAGACAGGTTGACAAATATTTCTAACTGATACGACGCTACCATATACCGGGAGATTTTTGGTGCAGTTTAGTTTTCACCTTTTTGTATCATGACAACAAATATTAGCTACACACTTTACCTTACAGTAACATATAGTAACTACTTGTGAAGGGCGAAACTTACTCGGGGAAAATATAAATTTTACCAGTGAAGAGCAAATATTTGACAAGGTGAAAGTTCCGGGTATACAGTACGTCAAAAAGAGAGTTAAACAAAAGATGATTTTTGGGTCCGACAGTTCCTCTCCTAAGGAGATCCACACTGAGGCCTTTAAATGACCCACATGCATTAATTAAAACATTATTATGGAATATTGGGATATCATCTGTATGCTAATTTTAGTATTTCTAAAAGAGAAAACTAACAGCAATCTTTAGTAAAATGTGTAAAATAGCATACATCCTTAACTTTAATACAAATCACTGGTATGTGTAGCATAGCATATAACCTTAACTCTAACACAAATCACAGGTAAAACGTGTAAGGTAGCATATAACCTTAACTCTAACACAAATCACAGGTAAAACGTCTAAGGCAGCATATAACCTTAACTCTAACACAAATCACAGGTAAAACGTGTAAGGTAGCATATAACTTTAACTCTAAAACAAATCACAGGTATAATGTGTAAGGTAGCATATAACCTTAACTCTAATACAAATCACAGGTAAAACGTGTAAGGTAGCATATAACCTTAACTCTAACACAAATCTGATGTAATAAATCACAGGTAAAATGTGTAAGGTAGCATTTAACCTTAACTCTAACACAAATCTGATGTAATAAATCACAGGTATAATGTGTAAGGTACATGTAACATGCATCCTTAATGGCATCAAAACATACAGATTTTATTTTGTAGTATGTACATGTAAACAAATTCAGATTACAGCCTTGTGTTTGATTCAATAGTTAACAGAAATACCCAGGGGTCAAATTTGACATGTTTCACTGTACTCAATGTGATTGGGCTAATGCTGTGCATATGTGATACCTCCAAGGATTCATTACCATGATATAAACTCCTTAACAGCTGTATCCATGGAAACTATTTTTAAACGGATATTTTAAATTTTAAATCCTACAGACAGTTCTTTTTCATTGAAATAAAAAAAATAGCAATGTGGAGGCAATCTGTCGTGAATGGATGTTTTTATTTTATGCAAGGAAAATCTTATATAATGACTTTAAAAGCATTGAACTACATTTTAGGTGCATTAATCATGATTACATACTTAGAGCTTTGAAGCCATCTTCAACATCTCCGGAGAACTCGCTTTTCACTGACTTCAGGATGTCCTTTCCGGAAATCTGGAGATAAATATTACATGATAATCGTCAACTTCGATGTACACCATCCCCCCACCATTTTAAAAACTGCATGCAGTTGAAACATTCTTTCTTAGTCCACTTACATTTCAAGAAAGCTGCCATTGTGCTTCAAAAAATATATTTAATGATATCAAAATTTCAACTCTTGATATTATATATATACTGCATCCGGATTTGGTGAGACATCATGAATTTGAATAAATGAAATCATGAATTAAATCAAACATTAGTCAAATAAGATTTTATGATATCATAAAATCATTTATTGATATCAGAGATTTGAGTTCATTATATGAAATAGCCTAAATCAATGATATCTCAAATCAAATTTTATAACATAAAATATTAAAAGATATCATGAAATGTGTTAAAAAATTTTGAAACAAGTTCTATCACCTGATATAAATCACTCTTGTTGGCCTAGGCGGTAGCAAGGGCCTTATTGTGAGAGGATTTAGGAGGAGCAACAGGATTGGTTTGTTTAACACCCTATTAACATCTAAGGTAATTTAAGGATGTGCCTCCATGTGTGTTGTGTAAAGGTGCATGCGTGTATGTATACCGGAGACAGGGTATGTTGGTGTACTTGCCTCCTAGTAATACTGCAGATCTGATGCAGACTTTATAGTGCTATCTCACTGAAACACCATGCCGAAGGCACCCAGCACAGTACCCCGTCCAGTCACATTACACTGACAACGGGTGAACCAGTTGTTGCCATTACCCTCAATGCTGAACGTTAAGCAGGGAATTACAACTACCATATAACCTAGCTGTGTTGTTGAACAAGTGACCCCATATCTTTTCAAGGCCAAGATTTAAAGAAAACATCAAATCAAATTTATAACATGAAATATTTAGTAATATCACAAAATCTATTAAATTTGATTTAATGATGCCATTAAATCTCGGGTGTGGAAAGATATTGGGTCACCTGAAACTTGATAAATTTGAATATCTACCTTCTGGTACTCCTGGAAGGTGGCCCGGAGTTGGTAGTGGTTTCTGACAGCCATGACGGTGAGGAATGCAGATTCGTCAGTGCCAATCATTTTCTCACCAGCTTGGTACAGTTTCTGGGCGTCTTGTTGGGCGAGCGCCCTGTCTACCACGCCTTCCAGTCCCTGGTAGGCCAGACGCTGTTGTTGATCGGGAGTCAACTCATTCCTGTTTCCCTGCAAAATTTCATATACCTGCTTAAAATATCATTCAAACTATATACAGTCAAAACTTTCATAAATCAAACTTTATTGCTGTAACTACAAACAGTAGGTGCACTTGTTTTAGCGTATTATCAAATTTTAACAGATTAGCGCATTGATGATTTGTTCATTGATTTTTTTTTAGAGAAACATCAATCATTGCAAACAAATAAGCCCAATGTTCATATCACAAAAATAAAAAGCCTTCAAGCTAAACACTGCTAAAATATGTTCGCATACAGTATTGAAATGATTACAGGTATACAAACCTTACATACTTACCTGGCAACAAGATATCAAAAGCCGCTTAAAATGTCCACTCGTCTCTGATGATATATCCTGTTCCAGAGATCTGCTAAAATCTGCAAATAGACATACATGCAGCATGAGAGAACCAATTACACAATCCTGTCTTAAATCTTTCAAGGCAAATCCAGGCAGGATATATTATGAGACCTTGGCTTTTGTAAACACTTATACTTGTCTTGTATAAATCATTTAAGCACAAGGAGATCTGACATGGTTGTGTCAAATTTTTATCAGGAATCAAAACTTGTATTTATTTATTTTTGTAAATTCTGGATTAAAAACTGATCAATCAAAAATTCAGATGAAAAAATTAATACATCTTAAATCTTAAGTTTTGAATTTCTTACTTTAACCAATATTTTTTTTATGATAGCAAAACATTTTTAACATATTTCATAAGATGATGATAATCTGATTGCCCTAATTGATAAAAAAAAAAGTTATGACTTCTGAACACACAAGGCTTTGTTATCTTTTTGATACTTACGTTTCTTGTAACATTCCACAATCTCTTTAATTTCTGCATTGGATCTTGTGCAGAGAATTTCAATGAGAACTGCTTCTTTCGTGCCGACACACTAAAACACGAGAGTTATGATACAGTTAATACCTTTGAAAATTTCACTCTGCAAAAAATGAATATTTGTTTTCCTGAGATTAATCGTGTTTCCAAATGGGAAGCCCCTATGATCCATTTCCTTTTTGTTTCTGTCCCCGACTTTTGTTCCAGATTTGCTAAAATACTGTAAACGAGTAAACATTCGCTCAGTCAAACTTTTGCCCTATGCCGGTAAAATTGGTATTCACCCAGTGTTAATTTCATTCTTCACATCCAATTAATACGTTTATCATGTTGTCTGCAAATGGTCGCTGTCATGATAAATTCACCCTCATAGCAGAGGGTAAAAAAGGCGAAAGTTTAACTGTCGCGAACATTTCCTGTTATACAGTAGTTGATTTCGCAGAATCTTTCTTTTGTATATTTCAGTTCTTGTAGCTATGGCATATAGCACTACGGTAAGAATCAATTAAATTCCTCCATTTTTACGCAGGTTATATTTTTTGCAGAAAAAGTAGTTACTGCGAACATCGTGAAAATTAGAATCCTGCAAATGAAGACAACTTTAACAGTTTATCAGAGAACATGGAGGTCATCTGAGGTATAAAGAGACTCACTGTCATTGCTTTATGAAGAGACCACGCATCAAAGTAGGTGGTCGGTTTGAACATGCCCATAATCAGTTCCTCCAGATCTCCACTCAGCTCAGATTTCAGATCAGCAATCAAATCCTGGTAATGGACAGATATTTTATTTCCTAACATTTGTTCTTAAGAAGAAGATTTTCAAGACTTCAAAGCTATCTATCTACACAATGACATTGTATAACTCCTGTTTGAGATACTATATCTTTGCATGTAAACTTTTATTGACTAAATTTGAAATAACTTTTAACATTTATTCAAAATCGAAGGTCTGACAAGTACAGTTCAGCAGAGGTAGACTTAAGAAAATATTTTCTTAACAAACTACACATTTTTTCACCCTTAAGAAGCCAACTACTATGATACTATTGATCATACAGGTCATGTTTGAGTAAAAAATTATGATTTGAATTTTTTGCAACAGAGACAAGAATGATGAAATTTGCCCAAATAAAACTTGATATAATATCTTTTCATGCTTGTTTTTTGAGAATATTTGGGGGAAAGGTTGAATGAACATTCAAATTTTCCCAAATTTGTTATGCACCCAGACACCAGAAACAGTAAAGGTACCTTGCCATACATGGTTTTGAACATGGTTAGAATCTGCTGACGCTGCTGATTGGTCCGTGCACTGATCACACTAATGATGGCTTTTTCATCAGTTCCTAAAAAAGAAAATCATTAATTATCTCACTTATTTGTAATTATAACATTTATTTTTATTTTTTTACAGTTGTTTTTTGTGTAATTTTCAAATCTATCATTAATTACTACTAACAATAATCAAAATTGCTACTTAATCTGTATTAACAGTAAATGCTTTACATGTTTTTCTAATTTTGGAACTCTTTTTCATAGGAGGTGCATGTCATTTTAAGGTAGCATATATCCTTAAAAATAATCAAAACACAACGGAGGTACAGTACATACCGAATCCCTTCATGGCCTTTCGTAGAATTTCTGCATCCTGCTCCGGAGAGAATGGTTTGGCAGGTCTAACAGTTGGGCGAGCTACCTCCCCTTGACCCCCGGCACCTCCACTTATGTTCATGGCCCCCATTCCAGTTGTTGCCCCAGGAACACCCTACCAAATAATATTTATATATCATAAATCTAGATATGTTTTTGTAGGACACTTTTGCAGGTTTCAACAAGATAGATGTCTTATTTTCAATGTATCCAATTATTTTTCAAAATAGGGATATGCATTGAATTATGAGTATCATTCATATATCCCAGTTTATTATTTTGAGTGTGTTGTATACTACTTCTTAAATCACAGCAAAGTGTAAACAAATTATTACAGAAACTATATGTACATTGACCGTTGGGGAATCAACCTTTTGATTTATTTATAAGTGAAATCAAATGACTAAAATATTGTGATACACAGCATTCCTACTCCCTAAAGTGTTGTCTCACACGAAGTGTTTGCATTCTGGCACTAAATAGTCTATTAGATGTCTACAGAAATATATATGAAAAGGGAAATAACTCTATAAAAAGGGGAAGAATTCTGTTCTTCATTGCACATGGCTACTATATCCTCCTCAAATGTATCAGTTGATCAAGTTTGATGGAAAAAGAAGCTTATTCTGGGGAAAACACTGACCAATCAGGTTGTAGTCTGCTAATTAGATATGTGCAAACTTTGTTCATCATTGAGCTTAACCTCCATCTTTCTAACACGGGTATGTTGTACTACTATATGCTGATCAATTACGCTTCATTGAAATCTGACAATATTGTAATTTTCTATCATTAACTATTCAACCTACCGCTCCTGAGTAAGCAGGCTGTTGAGGGGGCTGGTGCTGTGGGGGCATGCCCCCTGGTCCCTGTTGGGGGTAGGAGGGAGCCCCTCCTTGATAGCCCGGCTGCTGGGGAGCATACCCTGCACCACCTGCACCTGCGAAATAAAGAAATGTATAATTCAATATCAAAGAAATTATTTTTCGGTAGCAGATCTATTAGTAGACATTATTTTGATAACCAGTTTCAATCAAGATACACCTTCAAACTCACAATTGATCCTCTCGTATACAGATGTAGGTTATTTATAGTACACTGTTATCTGTCCAAACAAAACTGCTTGGAATTGGTTCACATAATTTGGTCAGTTTACAGAAAGTTCCAGCTTACACAGAATGTGCTTATCATTGTTGGAATCAAATGTTTTAGTTAATTTAGACAAGAATTGGAATCTGACCCTTTAACTTTGACCGATGACCACCAAAATCTAATCAGTATTATAACTTTATGTTAATGTATTATGTTATAAACATTTGATATCTTGTTTACAAGTGGTCAGGTTTGACCTTTGACCCTTTAACCTTGACTTAGATGACCACCAAACAACTTTATTCAGGAGTAAAACTGAATGTTACCACACTATATGGTGTAGACATACAATAAATCTGTTCCAGGGTTCATACGTTATCTTGAACACTAGCTTTTTATTGTTGCACTATGTTGTAATCATATACTTCTGCAAATTGAGTTTTATCATGATGATAATTATTCATAAATTATCAAGTGACACCATGTGACATCATGTCATGCATAGAACCCGATAGGAAAACTGGTACAGGTACCTGAAGACATATTTGAACTCTTCCAATTCAAAGGTTAGAATAGTTCATCATGAAATTTCAGGGGTAAATGAGCTAATATAGTTATTTGTAGTGTTAGTTACCTTGGAAAGCTGCTGGTTGCTGGCCAGGGTAACCTGCAGCAGCTGGCTGAGCAGGGTAACTGGTACCACCACCTGTAATTAATAACAAATTGTCTCTGTTACACAGTACCCAAATCTATCAAAGAAATGGGATGTTATTAACATAAATGACTATGGACAATGAGAGCCATTGGCCATTGGTGTACCATTCACAGGGATTTACCAGGATAGTTTAGGAAACGGACCCTGGGTCCATATTGGAAAAAAGACAAAACTAGGGATAATCAATTTTTTTCCAAAAAAATCTGGACATGGAATGTGTTATTGAAATGTTTTGTCACTAATATTTAGACTATTCGGACAAAAATTGAACTCTTTGATTCAATATGGTTTATCTGGACTTTAATTTTAACTTAAACTTTAAATTTGGTATACCCAGACAAAATAATACAGTAAAATGGTGACCTTTTTCCTACTGTGAATATCAAATGCCTGCATGTACAGCAAATATCAGATACATATAGTCATTCATTTTCAAGGTCACCGGGGTTAGATAGGTATATGTGAAAACATGTTTTAAATATCCATAAGGTCTAGTGTAACAAAAGTTTCCATAACGGCTTCTTGGAATAAATGACCCTAATCTACTTTCAAGGTCACAAGATTTAACTGTGTTAAAAGTCTTCAAATAGCTTTTAAAGATCCATAGGGTTTAAGAGTAATATTGTCTGTAGCTGCTGGTGTAAATTGCTATCAAGTGACCTTGAACTTGATCTAAAAATATTTAAAAAAAATTGTCTAAAGCACTACATTAAGCTTGTAGATTTCTAGGGTAACACACTATCAAGTTTGTTCAATTAAATTACCTTGATCAATTTTGAAATTTCTATCCCTGAGAGTAATATAAGTTAAATCCTTCATCAATGATCTATAAAGTGTAGAGTGATGATATTTATCCTGTGGTGTAAGTTGTGTTGCTATCAAGTTTGCTTAAACAAATCTGACCTTGACCTTCTTTGAAAGTCACACATGTAAGATGTCACTTGCAACGAGCATTAAATAACAAGTCAGCAATACAGGCCCATTAGACTCTTGTTATTTGATAAACAAGGAAATAGATATTACAGAATGTTACTTTTAAGGATCCCTGTCACATCGCACTGCCGTTTTTTACCATATTTACAGTTACCTCCCCTTAACTTCCGCTTTGATATACACCTGTAGCACAGTTTTGCCAGATCATTTTGGTTAACCAGGTAGCTCAATCACTTAAAGCAATAGTATAACAATCTTAAGTCCAGGGTTCAATTCCTGGTCTAGTCCCGCTCAATTTTTACACTCAGATCACTGTTATATATATTGGTTATATCTTGTTTAATTTTCCTTTATTATTTTTCATAAAAATCCCGCAGAGTTATAATGTTTTCTTTTCAGGATTGATTTATCAAAGCTATAGTCATGCCGGGAAAAAATAGTCTTACACTTTGTTACAGATTTTGGCAGTGGTACGGGGATCCTTAAATGTTAATCACTGACAAAACCTGTAGTGATCCAGGAGCTCCGAGTTACTCAAAATGTTGAAAACAACACTCTCGTTCATAGTTCAAATTGAGGCCATTTAATGAACAACACAAAATCAAAATTTTTGATTTCCTTTTTATTTTATTTCAGCTTAGATATATATTTTCATTTCAATGTAATTACAGAAATGCAATCTATGGCAGGCTAGAGCTGAAATATTTAAATATGTATTTAACAGTTTCAGTTAGGAACAATTATTTTTAATGGCAAACAAAAATAGTCTGCGTCTCTAACTGGGTCCGTGAGCAAACTCGACTCTGGTGAGCCTGTGTTAAAAATGAAACTTTCCGTGATCAATTTAGCTAAAAAAAAATCCTTCATATATAAATAGCAACAAAATCAACAATATAAGTTCAACTGCTGTGATTCATAAAAACAATAACAACTTTTATTATTCTGCAACAGTGAAATATTAACAGAGTTTCTGTATATTTGTAAATTTATGTACAATGCTTAATGAAAATACAATTGAATTATGCATCATTGAAAATAATTTGAAACAAATTTACTATTATTGTAGATAGAAATATCAAAAAATATTAAAATTAACAATTTTAATTTCAAAAATATTCAAATATTTATCAAGGTATCTCCTGGAGTTTTAATAAGTTTTAATAAAAAAATCAATTTCATATAAAAAATGTTATAATTTAAAACTCTCATTGAAATTCTCTTACTTTAACGCCGATCCCGAGAACCATAATAACAACATTCCCCCTAAAAAGAATATCTAACTAGCGATAATCAAATATCAACTTTCAGCAGTAATCATAATCTTGTTGGGTTTTTTCCCCAAAATTATATAATAACAAAAAAATTACAATATCGTTAAGTACATTGTACCTTTTCATAGAATTCATATATACATGTATTTGAAAGACTCAAGACTCCCAACCTACCCATGCAACTTATTCTGGGTTATAAACATACATGTAACATATGTATGTAAATGTGCAACACAATGCGATATAGATCTAGACTACTTAAGAAACTTCGGTGCTGCATGAGGTGTACATGGATATTAATCAACCCAAATATTGTAAACATTAACAGACAAGTAGAAATTCTAGTCATTACATGTATCACTAAGGCTTGTTTATAAAACATTAAATTCACCGATGATAATCATTTTATAATGGTACACTAATCAACCTTGTTTATCCAGCCAGCATTAATGTGACTATATAAGTATGGAAAAAAAAAAATTCACAAGATGACCGAAACTACATTGTATTAAGCTAATAGTTTAGGAGACAGATTGAACTGTTCTATATAAATTGTCTTACTAATTCACAATACATCAGGACTGCATGTTGTTGATTCTTTACAAAAACATTGATGGTCAGTTACACTAAACCTAATATTTGATATGTTTACTTTATTCCAAAAGAGACATTGATCTGATAATGTAGAAAGCTTCATTTAACTTAAATCACTCAATTTTTTCAACAAAACATGTCACCAAACTCATTTTGTTTCTTATAAAAAGCACTCTTTAATATACATGTATCCATGAGCAAAGTATTATCTTGATTTCAATCTAGTACATGTTCATACACAACATATCATTATTGAAATCGCATATACCCCATGAACACATTTTGTAGTTTATGGGTAAACTAGCATTTGGAACCTCATTGGTCCAAATTTAAAGTCTTCAATCTTCTCAAATATTATTCAAAATAGCAAAAAAAAAAAATCCAGTTTTTTAATAATATAAAAATAATTCAAAAGGGAAATTCATCAATAGATATGATTTAAATATTTAACAGCAAATAACACATTTTCAATAAATTGCACTTAATATGAGGTATAGCTAGTGGAATGCAATTTCTTGCAGCATTTTTTATACATGAATGGAGGATCTCAAACAAGTTCCCTTTTCATATTTTCTTGAAGCTATACAATGTATCATATTTATCTTATGAAATTGGAACAAGTTTGAGATTCTCTTTCTCACACCTAAAATGCCACGATTTGTTAAAAAAAAAAATGCCTTGGTCAAAAACAGTTTTTCAGGTTCATATCAAATCATATTTACCATTAACATCACAAAGGCCACAGTTTCACTTCAAGAGTGTATTATGACATTAAAATGGAGACAATACATTTTGCGCAGAAGAATTTGATACTTTAATAATGACTTTGAGATGTGTGCTTTTTTCAGAATATTTGCAAAAATGGTTTGATTATGTGATAAAAACTGACTTGAATTTGTTTTCACTTCCAATAAGATCAATTAATAAAACTTGTGAGTGAAACATTCTTAAACTTGTTTCGTATGTTTCTTCTGACATGAAACAATTTTGAGAATTTTTCATTCATGATGAGCTGAGTTTCAATTTATCTCATTTGAAATGAAAACTATGAAATATCCTAAACATGTATGTATATACAATGAACAATAACTTAGAAAACAGGTCAATTTCCCGTGTACTCTGCAGTTTATTAATAGAATATTCCCCTACCTTAAAGGTGTGACAGTGAAATCTACGACGCGAGGGGTGATTTAGTTGGTTGTCTTACCCAAGGCTCTACCTACAGGGTTAGATAACAAATAATCACCCCAAGACCTAGGGTTGGAGATTTCTTTGCTACACCCAGAAGGCAGGGGATAATTTTTTACCATCCTTTTATTAATTAGCTTGGCATGCTTGTAAACAAAAGCACTTGAGGTCTATGAGCCCTGCCATTCACTTTAAATGATGTCATAATTTAGCACATGCTATTCTGACGGAGGCTTTGGTAGATATCTCTGTCTAATGGAGAGAAAGTTGATCTTTCCTGGCTAAACAGGAGATGCACATGCGAAGGATGGGATGATATAAACATGTTTCATCCTCAGCAGTTTATCTTCATTGCTGAGCATACACATCGTATTAGTACATGTACAACATTAATTCTACATGAACAACCCAATGCATTCTACAAGCAAATGGTTGGTGACCAGCATGCGATGGAGCACTCTTCCTGTCTATCTTAAGGACCACCCAAGCTAGCGTTTTCTAGTCAGTCTGGACATTAGTATGGGCGGGGCGGGCCTTGAGGGTAATCTGTAACGAAAACGAAACAAAAATCTGTCAGGAATTTGTTTCTTTTTTATTCTTAACATCTTTCATCAAAATGAAAAAAAATAAAAATGAACAGGGTTGCTGGGAAAGAACGCATTTTATTAATTCCTCTACAAAATTTGAAAACCCCAAAATGGTTGAAAACAAGACAGTATTGCAAAACGAAAAAATTCCCTTTCATATTGGAAAGTTTTGTTTCAATGATAACATAAATGACTTGGAAAACATTAAATTTAAAAAATGTAGAAACTTAATGTTCACATAACAACATTTGCAAACTGAAAGTTTGAGATTATAAAGGGGTTTGGTAATCTATAAAGCTAGAGTTATGAAAAGGAATTATTAGTAAAAATGGGAAAATTAGACCTTGACAAATGTTGGTAGTAGCGCGTGGTGGTAAACAAAAGGAGGGACGTTATATTGAGGCTGAAGGGTATCATAACAAAGAAGATTACAGTATGTATTGACTCAACTATTATTGATGTGGAGGTTTTCACTCTGACATTGTCGCTATGATATTGATTTAATAGCCCGTCAATTAGTTAGCGAATGCAAACTTTCCCACTGATGTTATGATGTAAAATATTAGCAAAAGCTTCAAATTTTCCTCTATTAAGGTAGAGAGTTCCATCACTTTTCAATTGTAAATTAGGCTTGAAAAGTTCTATTCCTGTTTACTTTATGATATTTCCTTTATATTCATATATAGGGAGATCAAACATTTTCAAATTATTCTTGGTAATGTTCCAGAAAATTATCAAGAAAACAAACAGCATCACAGATAGCCAAGAGTATAATGTTCTTGCTTTATAATCAAGAACTTTGTGGATTAAAATTCGTGTAGCAGAGATTATGTTGGGGATGCCAAACAACAACAATGTAATGAATATATTATTTTTTTTAATATGTAACTCTTTGCTGTAGTAAATGGGCTGGTAACTTCCAGTCAGAAAAATGCAAAACAAAATGGAACTCTTTTTTGTTGGAGAGTCAACACAAAATGCTGGGACTCTCTACCTTAAGACTGACTCTAGAAACCAGACAAAGCAGGCAACTTGGGTGTTTCCTTAATTTCTATAAGTAACATGGTAGCACACTACACATACAACAACAAAGGATTACAGGGAAGGATGGTTATTACTCACTTGGATATCCCCCAGGTGCACCTGGTTGCGCCGGGTAGCCGGGTTGCGCCGGGTAACCAGCTGGTTGTGCAGGGTAACCACTAGGTTGGCTGTATCCAGCGGGTGGTGGAACTGTTCCTGTAGTCATAGAAACCATATTATGTTTGTCAATAATATTTCCATAATAGATAAATACCATCAGCCTACTTTTTTCTGTGAAGCTGCAAAAATAATGTAACAGCAATACAAGAAATCTAGTTGCCAGTAAATGAATGAGACTGCAGCTACACATATGCCTTTAATATGAAGATCTGCAAACCATTATTAAAATGATCTACCATTAGTTTACCCAAAACAGGACCGTTTTTAGCTAAATATTAATGTATTTTGTACCATAGTATAAATTAATAAATAGATACCATCCTCTTTTCTTTTACAAGCTGATATTTTGGGCATGTAGTTCTATAAATAGAACATGAAATACCATCAATGAAAAGTAGGCCCTTGAAGAGCTGTTACTGTAGCCAGAAAGGGAATTTAAGTATTTTAACTTATATTTTAGAGTCAGAAGATCTAGAGGTTCTGTTCTAATCAAATTTCTTCTCCAAACTAGCATTATTTTTGAAAAAATAGACTTCTGAAAATGACATCGATATAAACATTATCTCAGAGCATGTAAATTAAGAAAGTTGATTTCCTAATAACTGCTGACCTTGTGGGTATCCCCCGGGATACCCTGGGTTAGGGGCGGCTGGATAGCCTGCTCCTGGTGCTGCAAACCCACCACCACTGTAATTAGCCTGTCCAGGAGGGGGAACCATTCCCGGAGCCATCCCTGGGGCGCCGTATCCCGGTTGTGCAGGGTAACCTGGTTGTGCTGGGTAACCTGGTTGTGCGGGGTAACCTGGTTGTGCGGGGTAACCTGATTGGGGATGATGGCCGTGAGCCCCACCATGATGGCCGGGAGCCCCACCATGATAGCCGGGAGCGCCCTAGATTGGGAAAAATTATGAAATATTAACACTTAGAAGTTTCACAACTTACGAGGATAAAAAGCTTGTGTTTTGCTGAATTGATGAACTTGTAAAGAAAATCCAAGAAGATCATTCACAGATTTTAAGAAAAATAGTTGAAAACAAACTAATTAGAATAATGTATAAGAAACAGATATGATGCGGTTATTTTAGATTATTGCCCAATAAAAGTCCAATGAATTAAAGTATACATCCAGGGTTTATCCAACATCAGTGTTCGTACATTGGCAATGTGTATATACTCACTGGAAGAATCGTTCCTTTGGGCAGAATTCCCTGGTTAATGAAAAGAAAAGTAAATGAAATTCATCTATTTAATAGTTCAAATCATATTTCTAATCTGAATGGAATTTTAACAGGATTTTTGAACAAATGGAGCATCTGATCAAAGAAAAATGTATCAGGAAAACTGTGATTTTTGGGGCTCACATACTGTGTATTCCAGTCTTTGACTTGTGCTGGGCTCACATACTGTGTATTCCAGTCTTAGACTTGTGCTGGGCTCACATACTGTGTATTCCAGTCTTTGACTTGTGCTGGACTCACATACTGTGTATTCCAGTCTTAGACTTGTGCTGGGCTCACATACTGTGTATTCCAGTCTTAGAATTGTGCTTCTTCATTTATATCTCATATAATATCTAACTTTTGGAAAAGATCATCAGGATTAACCCTATATAACCCCCAAATAAATACTTACTATTTAACCATTTGAAAACTGAGTCAACTTCCAAAATCCCAGCATACAAGTATTACCTTTTTGTACGTACATATTCATTAAATTCACAAAATCTTAATGATAAACTAGCTGAATTGATCCTATCTTTTGTGCATAGAAAGTCCCTAGCTCCCCTGACCTGCCATTACAAAGCGTAAAAGCATAAAAATATCTAATTTCCTTGATTTTTGCACAATTACAGTTTAAAAATTGTTAAAATGCTTTAACTTTTGTGAGCCATTAGTGGCTAAACAACTATTATTTTTTGGACCCTAATTTAAAACTGTTCATATATGCGGTAACAGTACCTTTTTCACCTATTTTTTCATTTTCTTGTTTTTTAACAGTTTTAGATTTAAGCACTCAATTACAGTACTAGTTTAAAAATATTGAAAACTTTAACCTCGACTAATTTTTGAGGGCCATTCATAATTAAGTGGTTAAACAACAAATATTTGTTTAAATACCTTTTTCATCTGCTTTCTCATCTTCTTCCGCATTTTCCTCTCATGTTTCGGGAGATGTTTGTACTCATTGTCCGAGCTGTCGGAAGATGATGAGGATGAGCTGCTGCTGCTGCTGCCGTGGCCATGGTGCTTGTTCTTCTTGTGTTTACCCATGGTTCTACAAAACAAGAAGAAAAAAAACAATTACAAGGGTATAACTGTGAACATGTTTGTCCTTCTGCAAATTAAATGCATCCTTTTTGCAGTGTTTCCTTGTACCTAGTAGAAGTTCTGCACCTCACTTAAAGATAGATGGAAAGGAAACTTTTCTCAGCCGTCCTATTGTGAACTTTTACAAAAGGGAAATAAATCTTACATATCCATTTCACAGATTAGGATTGCTTTATTTGTATTTATGATCTAAAACTGATGATTTATACAATAACGAGTCCCCTTGGCTAAAGATGATAGTGAATTTGGTTTAAAATACCTTGACAGGTATATGCGTAGTGAAGGATAATTTTAAAGAAAAGGAGATTTACCTAGCTTATATCACATTCCCATAGTTGGGCCCCCTCTGCTTCCAAAAGGGCCATACCGTCCACCTTAACAACACTGAGACCCCTTTTTGCCAACAATGCTCTTAACAGAATTTGATGTAAATCCCATTCAGCCACTCTGGATAAGTTAACTTTTTAAGGAAAAGTTTACAACTGTAGATGGACAAATGCCATATGCAGCAACAATTGGCAAACTTAATGTGGCCCAAAATGGTTTCTAGTGTAAAAGAAGTGCATTGATTAGGTTAATTGCCTTACAAGCATCAGTTGTAGTGAATTTCCCTTTAGCATCGGGCTGGAGAGCCAAGGGTCGCAGGTTCGAGTCCCAGCGACAGCGCTATCTTTATCACTATTCCTCGTACTATTTTAAATTGGTGCCGTTGACCATCCCCGTTCAAGGTAGGAGAACCCTTGGCGGGGAGTCAAAGAACCTGGGTTGTAGTGATGGGCAATCGGTTTGAAATCATAATCGATAATCGGTTTGTAATCGGAAGTAGTAAACCGATCGATGATCAATTGCATAATCGGTTTATAATTTTTTTTGGACAGAATACCCAAATAAAGTGAGAACACTAGCTACCATAACATCATGATCAATAGACAGAGTTGTTCACTATACATTAGCTTTCGTTCTTTTATGATGAATGGATATCAAGCAGCTTTTATGCATTTCCTGTTCTACCCAACTATTAGAATCCCTGGAAAACTGACATAAAGGACTGGAAGCTGGTGATAACATAGATGTCATATATCTGGACTTTAGTAAAGCTTTTGACAAGGTCTCACACCGTTTCCTGGTACACAAGCTAGAACAGTATGGAATTGAGGGAAAAGTTTTAAACTGGATAAAAGCCTTCCTGGAAAATACAGTACAACGAGAAACGATCAATGGTACAACCTCAAATCCGAAACCAGTCACAAGTGGAGTCCCTCAAGGGAGTGTTTTAGGACCAATACTGTTCCTGATCTATGTTAACGACATGCCTGATATGTTAAGCTGTACGATCAAACTATTTGCGGATGACACAAAACTCTCTGCAAAAAATGTAACATTAGCAGACCGCCAAAATCTACAGGACAACAAAAATCATATGTGTGACGGGACCAAAACCTGGCTCATGCAACTTAACACCACAAAGTGCAAACATCTGGAGCTTGGACAGAGAGACAAGGTGACCATATATATACACCATAACTCAAGATGGAAAAGAATCTCCAATCATACGAGTGGAACACGAGAAAGACCTAGGTGTCCATATAGACAACCAGCTGAAATTCTCAATCAACGCCAACTTAGCTGCATCAAAAGCAAATAGGATGCTGGGCATAGTATTCCGGACCTTTACATACATGAGCCCTGTAATGTTCCTAACTCTATACAAAACTCTGATAAGACCTCATCTGGAATACTCAACAACAGTTACAAATGTACATTACCATTTTTGATCCGCGACAAAATTACAATCGAGAACATCCAAAGAAGAGCGACCAAAAGGATTCCAACTCTTAAAAACGTACCATACGAAGAACGCCCAAGACAACTCGGACTCCCAACTCTCGAATATAGAAGACATTGAGCTGATGTAATTCAAACCTATAAAATACTAAACAACATGGAAATTCTTGACAATTAAAGGGCAAACTATTTCATGAAGCTGAAGACAACCGAACCAGAGGGCATTCCAGGAAACTATTCAAAAGACCATGCAGACTAAACAAATATGGTAATTTCTACAGCAACAGAGTGATAAATCTGTGGAACTCTCTAACAAAGGAGGTAGTAATCTCTACAACGCTCAACACCTCCAAGTCAAGACGGCTCAACAGCCACTGGAAAGATCACCCGACAAAATTCAAGCCATCTTTTTATTAGTTACATATATATATGCAAGTCAAACCAGTCAAAAGTGAACAATGTAACAAATTGACAGTTTGGCACTGACCATGCTTTTAAAAATCACATGTCTTAATCATCAGATTTTAAAAGGAGAGGAATCAACAGTGGAGCTGAATACTCCAACCCTACCAGATACAGAAATGAACCTGTAACTGTAAATGGCTATATATATAGCAACCAGAAGTCTAATTAGTACGTGTGTGTACAGCATACATTAGAAGAAAGGAATATCATACATCACCACAAGCGACTAGTTAGCTTACAACGATGTCATCTGAGCGAAACTGAGCGAAATTTTTTACCAATCATATATAGTATAAATCATAACAATATATGACTTTCAAAGCATACTTTACATGGAAAACATTTAAATACTTTGATTTTAATGATGAACTGATTATATTGATGATGGAATTTGTAATTGATTATCAGAATGGGCAAACCAATTGATTTTCGATTATAATCGATCATCAGTTCATGTCATCACTAATGGGTTGGTGTTTGAAAAAGGGGTGAATAGTGTAAAAGAAGTGCATTGATAATAAGGTTGCCTTACAAGCGTCAGCTGTAGGGAATTTCCCTTTAGCTCAACGGTAGAGCATCTGGCTTAAGAGCTAAGGGTCGCGGGTTCGAGCCCAAACGACGGCACTCAGGCTCTTTATCACTATTTCTCATCCTATTACACTAGCACTAATTTGTGGTATTTTTATGAAGTCATTTCACGAAAATATTCGAAGTAATATATCATACAATTTAAAGCAAATACATGGCCACCATGTCGCTGGAGCAGCACACATCCCTTAGGGTCAGCTCCTGTCCAGGAAGAATGCTAGTCGTTTCGGCAACAGGTGGTTTCGGGCATCCCAAGGTCGTTTCGGGACAAAATTAAGTCGTTTCGGGACTTACTCAAGTCGTTTTGGGACATAAAAAAATATATAATTAAAATATAAATGAATGTTACATTTCTCTTTCCCGTTTCATAAAAATCTGTGTCAGCAATGACGTCACAATTTATGTGTACACAAGAGTATACGCATATGGCGGCTTCGACCTACCCGTGCTTGCGATTTACTTTTGCCAATTAGCGCCAAGCTTAGATTACCTGCCAACATTAACCTGATTGACAACATGTTGTTAATCTGATTAAACTAATCCCATTATTAAATAGAGGGGAACGAACACCAAGTACCGAACAGAACACGTGGTCAATATCAATTAATCAATCATTTTTACATAATTTCATTCGTTATTTAAGGTTCCATGTTTGACATCGTGATAACATGTTTTCGTTTTACTCTTTTTCCTAATTAATGTGGCCAGCTTGATCCAAGTTTCCCTTTTTACAGAAGTACTAATTTGACAGTAAATTCTGCATATAAAAAGTATCAAATTTTACAATGTAGACTAGCTAGTAGGGTGTGTTTTTGTAACCCTCATTGTTGAAACTATGAAAACAGTGATCTCCCCACTGAGGTACTCGGAGCATCTCCAAACGTTTTTTGGGTTTTTTTTGTAAACCTAAGTTAAAATTATGAAATCAAAGAGCTCCTTACTGTTTGTTTTGCTGAAATTTTGAAAACTACTCAATTAAAAAGTTTAAAAAAAACAAACATAAACACGTGTGCTAAACAAACAGTAGAAAATAATCGAGATTTCCTGACACGACTTCTGACACTCCCGAAACAACCCGGAAAAAGGTCCAGAAACGACTTCTGTCTTGTTACCGAAACGACTAGTTACCGAAACTACCCGACACCTCCAAGAAGATGATGATGATGCATGTATTATTCTTGTTTTATTGCTATTTAATTGAGAGCAAAATCTTAAACTGTGCATTTTTAGATATGACATATAGGTTAGCCAACTTCCAGTTCAAGTACATTCGATTNATGTTTTCGGCACCAAATCGCATATTTCCCGATAAAATATGGCAGATGGAAGTAAATAACGTCTACAAAGGTGATATTTCACAGTAATAAAGAAGTATTTGGTTCATAACTGGGTCGTATGGAGTAGTATTGGGTGGTATTGGGTAGTATTGGGTGGTATTGGGTAGTATTGGGTGGTATTGGGTAGTATTGGGTAATTAGACGCGCCGACAAAACCTACTGAAAAGTAAACTTCCGGCGATCGAACACAGACATTTCAGGCTAGGTGAGAGTATGATTTTGTATTGTTAATCCTTCCAGTAAATTAAGGTCATGGTGATTTTGCTTTAAAGCCAATTACTCAAAGTAGAAATGAATTGAGGAGCTCTTATTAAAGTAAAGGCTTTCGCTGATAAATAGTTTTTTTCGTAAATGTTTTGTCGATCCACGTCACATGGCCATGGTTATACTACTTTCATGTGACAGTGCACAGAATGATGATACGTTGCAGGACCTTTTTACATGCACAACATTATCCGACAGTCTGTTCCAATCAGCCAAATTCTTTTGGAAAATTAGTTTTTGTAGAGATCTGTCCTGTGTTGAATCGTTTGGAAGCTCTGCATGTTTGTATTGTTGATATATATATATATTATCTTGCTTTTCAATGATGTTTGGAGAGACACAATCAGTAAAATGCTTAGCTTTCCTCAGTCATTTACCGTGTATAGGAATTCAGGTAAGTATGGCATTGCTGGCACCTAGCTGCCAAAAAAAAATCCATTCCACAAGAAAAGAAAACACTGACATAACCGCATTACGTAAAGACGGACAACTAAAAACTGACACTACATGCAAGGCAAACATACTAAACCAACCATTTGAATCTGCCTTCACCACAGAACAGGACTGCCCATACCAGACAAAGGACCTTCTCCACACCCTCTCATGCAAACAACAAGGCATCTTTAAACTACTCAACAACATCAGCCCACATAAAGCAACAGGACCTGACAATATACACGGCAGAATATACTTAAAGAATTAAGTGACATTACAGCACCCATTCTTACAAAAATCTTCACCCGCTCGCTCTCTACAGGAACACTGCCATTAGATTGGAAACATGCAAACGTCAACCCAGTATGCAAAAAAGGAGACAAGTACAACCCAGCAAATTACAGACCAATTTCACTAACCTGCATTACATGTAAACTCCTGGAACACATCCTAACAAGCGCCACAATGACACCTCTGGAGAAAAACAACATAGTATATGACCTACAACACGGCTTTAGATCCTCCAGATACTGTGAAACACAGCTCACCACATTCATACATGATCTCGTATCAAACAACAACATCAACAAACAGACAGACATCATCATTATGGACTTTGCCAAAGCTTTTGACAACGTGCTACACAAACGACTACAGTACAAACTCAAATATTACGGGATAACAGGGAACACACATGCATGGATAACAGACTTTCTTTCATTCCGCACCCAAACAGTAGTACTCGAGGGCAAAAAATCAGACAAAATACAAGTAACCTCTGGGGTCCCCCAAGGAACCTGTTTGGGCCCCATCCTCTTCCTCATCTACATCAATGACTTCCACGAATACATGAAATACAGTACACTTAGACTATTTGTAGACCACAGCATCATATACAAGACGATAAACAACAAAGAAGACACACTAAAACTACAACATGACCTTGACGCAGCAGGACAATGGGAGACGTCACCCTGACAAATGCAACATACTCAACATCACACCGAAACGCAACAAACAACACCATGACTACAAACTCCACTACCATGCACACATGCATTACACCAAGAAGGATCCAGCAAATAATTAGGATTAACAAAATAACCTACGATGGGACAAACATATTAACAACATCACAGCCAATGCCAATAGGTCCCTAGGTTTTCTAAAATGCAATTTAAAAATAAACTCGCCACATATAAAAGAACATGCATACAAAGCACTAGTCAGACCAAAACTTGAATACTGCTCTTCCATTTGGGATCCACACAACACAAACCAAATTAAACAAATAGAAAAAACACAACGAAGAGCAGCACGCTACGTAAACAACAGATACCACAACACTAGCTCAGTAACAGACATGATTCACAAACTACATGTACAATGGCCAACACTACAGACACGGCGCTGTCACACAAGAATGATCCTATTTTACAAAATTGTACACTAAATTGTAGCTATAAACCCAACATATATACTCACACCCGTAGACCCTCGAACCAGACATGCACACCATCAAGCATACAAACACACATCTGCTACAAAGAACACCTACAAATATTCATTCTTTCCACACACAATAACACAATGGAATCTCCTTCCCATAGCAGCAGTACAATGCACAACACATAGAGAACTTCAAGGCACACATTCCCTATGCAACCCTTGAAGCCCTCATCTCATGATAAAACATACGCCAGCTTTTATCTTTGATCTATACCTTGCACAAAAATAAACACAAAAAAAACCCAACTAATCACTGTAAATAACCTCTTCTTTTCACGTCTCTGTGATAGGACCCCCGAGGGCATTATCATCACTATTGATGGAGCCCCTGCACCATAAAGAAGAAGAGTAGTTAAAGATCAAGTGTTTATAAAAAATACCCTGTATACTATCGCGGGATACAGTATACATGGTATTATTTCTATATACAGATTAATTGTTATACTTATATTGATTGAATGTCACTCCTGTGATGCATCCAGCTGGGTCACTTGTAGTATTAAATCACATGATGTAAATCTGGTAGCTTGTCACTGGACTCACTTAAGCCAGTCGATGTCCTTGCTGAGATTTGAGTCCCATACTATAAAGCTGTATACATGTATACCAATGTATTTTTCTACCAATGTATGTACCCGATAACCAATATTCGTGTGTGCCGCACATACTGTATGCCTCCATGTGGCCCATGATTTGTTAATACAATAATATGTTTTATTTTATATTTTCAGATGACATAGCAAAACAAATGGTGAAGATTTTAAGCAATGGGGATATCGTCCCAGATAATGACCCTAGAGCGTCAGCAGGACAGAGCAATTCATCAAGTTCCCAGCGGCCTCGCCAACGACAGGTATAATGTTTGAATTCTAGACAGACATTTCATTACCCAGAGGTTTCAATATATATCAAGAGGTTGGGTACCAGCCCATATGGGTAATATTCCTTGAATGTAATTGCATTACATTCAAACTTTATATATTGCAGCTATCACGTTGCGTTCAATACGTTGCGTTGATATTTACTAAATATATTGATTTGTATCTGGTATAATTATCTGCATGATCCACAAGCAATATCTTGTTTATAGAGTTTCTTGCATCCATGAACCTAACCATAGTTTTTATCCCCCCCCCCCCCCCCCCCCCCCCCCCCCCCCATCATTAGGAAGTGTCTATATTTTATATGATGTTTATAATATATTTTGACTTTTTTCTCATCAAGGGGTTTGTGCAACATGATGAGGCTGGACCACAACTGTATGGGCAGCAAGTTTCAATATTTGAGACGGCCAATCAGAAGTTACATGGATTAGGGATCCCCTCCTGGAATCTCGGACAATACACTGTACAGCCGATAGTCACTGTCGGCTGTCTCGTTGCACTGATGGTGTTTGGACTTCCCGGGATAATCTTTGCAGCCGTTCTATTTTTCGTTGTTAAATGGAGTCAACAAAACACAGCACAACAGAACCCACTTGGTGGTCAAGGACAGTCAAGGGGAAATAACTGGGGTGGGGGTGGCACTGGGCATCGCCTAGAATGAAATGGGGAAATGGAATGGGGGAGGGATCAAAAAGACATGTCCTTTTGGGGTGTATCAATGTATAAAACTTTGCTTGTCTGTATTTGAAATGTGATCTATTTATAACACATGTAAAAAAACGTTTTTTTCAGAATTAATCATTATTTCTTTATATAGCTAACCTGAATGAAGTTAATAAAGAAATGATAACAAAAATGTTTTTTTCTCCTCAGTAATCCTACATGTGCATTATATTTTCAATGCATATTAATTAGATAATTGGTTATAATAAGTGAGTTTTAAGACACATTGAATTGAAAAGGTGTTACTTTGAGTATTCATCTTTTAGATATTTTCAGTGTCAGAGACAACATATCAAATGTATGCATTTTGTTGACCGTATCTCATACCAATTTCAGTGTTTGAATTAATTGAACATGTCCAAATTAAAGGATTTCTTTTTTCGATTTAGTCAAATTATTTTCATGATTTTAGATCCTTGCAATATTCTGTGTGCTATATGTATCACTATTCTCTAGTATTTACTGTAATATGATTATTTTTCAAGTATCTGTAAATCTTTATTGCGATTTTATATCAAAATGAAGCTTGTTTCACATACAGTAGTACAGGTTGCTTTATTGGTGTTGGGATTTACATTTGATTTGTCTATATATACGCAGAACAACAAAGACTTATGATTATGACAATGAATGAGTTCAGATATTTTGCATAACTTGCATTCATTTTATCAGTTAGGGATATCAGTTTTATATTGCTAAGCCCATTAAATGTTGAATATATAGAAATTTTGCCACAAAATCAGTGAAAATGCACTAAGATATTCGCTGCAGTACTATACAGTAACAGACTGCTATTACAAATTAATGTACTTTCTCAGTGATCATCACATTGTTAACTTAAATTAAATGTACATAGTACTACTGGAAGTATATTGAAAGGATTTTTTTACAATTTTATTTTCCCAATGGAGTCAATTTATTGATTTTTCTATTCAGATCTTGTCCAAACGAGGAATAATTATAAATCATTGCTGAATATTATTTCATGTAAAGTCTAATTCAAAAGTATGTGTATCATAATGAGTGTATAGCCTATCACATACAGATCTATGAACTTAAGGTCACATGATGGGGTCAAAGGTTAAAGCATCAAATGTTTTTTCAGACATTAACAAATCTGTTGAATATATATTTCATGAAAATGTGTAAATATTCATATCAATTTTTCAAGACTGTTTTGCATACTGAAGATAGCTAAATGTCAGAGCTCGAAGGTCATGGCCACAGCAAGGGGTCAAAGGTCAAAATCCTGACAGCACTAATGAACGGACTGTAAAGAAAAAAGGAGCATAATGAAGGTTTTTTTGAACCAATCAAATCGTAAAACTAGGTCTTCAAATAAGCTTCAGCTTAATTAGAGTTAAGCTGCCAAATACCTGTGATTTATTTGTGTTTGAATTATCTCCCTTTAAAAAGTTCCATCATACGTATTGATGGATGCAAACTTTTGTACTTGTCAAGATTGTTTTACACATCAGTATCTGTGGCTCTCTATTGAAAGGAGGTTTAAAATATGTAACAGTAAAGTAATGTCAAGCCTTAAGTTATGCTATGATGAATGTTATATACAGGTGTGGAGCATTTCAGTGAAGGTCAAGTTTATAAGACTTTTTCATGCCCAGGGGTGTAGAAACTCCACCTGAGGTTTTCAAATTTGGTAAAAACACAAGGCTTTGCCGAGGGTTTTGACAAGTTTGAAAACCTCCCGAAGGGATTTTCCCTATCCTTCACCCTTGGGCATGAAAGAATATTTTTCTCTCATTCCAACTAACAGAATAAACAGAAGAAAACATGAAAATTCATTTAAGACTGGCTTCCATTTTGAAAATACCAATTTTTCCCCCAAGCTTTTTTGATGAAAACGAAGCTGTCAGTGAAATTTAGCTTCCCCATATTTGCAAACAGAGTTTTGTGCAGAAAAATCAATCTCATCTCGCTAACATGTACAGTAATTACATCAAAAAAGGTTTTAATTTCATCACTTCACTTTTCTGCATTTGGGCATCAGTGTTTTTCAAATTCGTGACATCACGTCATTGTAGAGCCATTGTGACATCACGACCTTACACACAGGGAAATGAGAGAAATAGTTTTATTTAAAATTTATTCAGGGATATATACAGCAGTAATTTGTAACAAAATGAAATCGAAGTAAATTATGAATTAAAATCTTACATGTTTTCTGTTGTATTTTGTATATATAGAGTAGGTCCAATGTTTCTGACTACTTGTTCTGGTAACTATAATTCAACGGGTGAAACAAGCAGATCAGAATTATATGAAAATGAGGTTATGAAAATTCACATTAGCACATTGCAGGACCACTGACTAATTTATGTTTGCTCTTAAATATATGGTTGTAGGGTAGCTAGAGGTCTCAACCATTTCCAAGTCATGATCCAAGCACATGATTTTATCTATAACCACCCATGTAGACAGTTGGCCCTGACAGTACTTAATTATATAAATTGAACATTTATCTGAACACATATGTAACCGTGGTAAATACTAGCAGCAATATATCGCTCGGCTATAGAGAACATTGGCCATGAAGTGGGCGCCAATGTAACAGAGCGCATGATTAATTAAACATAAATTACTGCCTCCGGTAGGGATCGAACCCGGGACCTCTGGCTTACTAGTCTTACGCTTAACCGATCGAGCTAAAAAGAAGTTCTCTATAGCCGAGCCATATCTTGCGGCTAGTATTTACCAGGGTTACACATATATATCAGAAACAAGAAATCTGACAGGGACCTTGATGCCCACCATTGTAAGATCTTCAATAGTTCTATGTAAGTTTGATCTTTTTCCCTTCATTTCTCTTCTCTTATCTATTTGATAGATAGTTTTGTCCAATAGTAAATATATCTTGTGGTGACATTTGATCAACATTTCCATACTTCTGGGTTTTCATAATGTCCTTTCAAAGTGAGGTTATTGTTCATTAGCTTCTCCGATTCTTGAGGAATAGTGATAACAAACTTGAACTCTCAAAATTCAAGATGGCTACCTGGTGGCCATCTTAATTTTCCAATCAGTCCCAAAATGAAACATGCACAATTATCGGCCAAGGGAAACCTACATATGAAATTTAAGAAAAATCTGTCGCGCACTTCTTGAGAAATATTTTTTTTAAAAAATGAACTCAATATCAAAGATGGCTGCCTGGTGCCATCTTGTTTTTCCAATCAGTTTGGAAATGAAACATGCCTAACTATGGAACAAAGGAAACCTTAATATGAAATTCAAAAAAGATTTGTCAAGCATTTCTTGAGAAATATCAATAACAAACTTGAACTCTTAAAATCTGAGATGCGGACAGCCATCTTGTTTTTCTGATCCCAAAATAAAACATGCACAACTCTGGACCAGGGGGGAACCTTCATGGAAAAAAAATGGAAAATATCTGTTCAGCACTTTTTGAGAAATAGCGATAATAAGAATTGTTTAGAGATGGAATGATGGACCGCGGACCACAGACAAAGGGCGATTTGGACAGTCCACTATCTGATCACCATACAGTGTTTTAAAAAGATGTGCAAGTATTTTTTTCTATAGAATGACATGTTTTTTCGCATTTTTTCAGTGATGATTTATGAGTCAATTGTTTTAGCTATTGCACCAATAATCTGCATTATGAAAGAGAATTGTCTCTGTTTTTTTCCATAAAATTTTCATAATTTTCCATTAAGCTGTTGATAATCTAGGGATTAAATTTTAACTAAAATTTCAGTAAGATGAATAACAAAAAGACACAGGACTTCATTTTCCTGTCTCATAACAAATTTTAGTTTCGTATTTACATAATCATGAAGGAACATGGAAAACACATTCAGGCTTTAAAATTCACCATTTCTCATTTTTAACATGATTACTGCTAAACTATCGCAACTATCAAGATATTTGCATGACTAGGATTTAAAGAAAGAACATGGACGAAGGACGGATGCTGCATTTTGAGCCAGGTGAGTTATTACCTGTGTCATGGCCCTTTTTTGGGGGTATAAACTAACGGCCTGTTATAATACCAACCCTGCATATGGCCAAGCTTTCCCATGGAACGGATTTCCACACTATATAAACCCCCGTCAATAATGTCATCCCCCGCATATTGCCATCAGATTAACCTACTATGTATATTCAACAGGAGACCCATGGGCCTTAACCTGAGTTCTGAGNATTTACAATTTTTATTATTTTTGAAAAAAAATTAAAAAAAAAATTAAAAAAAAAAAAGAGAAACAAAAGAGAAACAAATCATCTCAATTACCTAGCTACTGACACCTTATATTACCAGATTTCTATCTGTTACATTGTTTTGATCAATGCTTTTACTTCTCTACTGTCTGTCTTTCTGTCTTTCTTTGTTTCTTTCTATCCATTTACATTGTACCTCTCTTTATTTATTTTCTTGTTTCTCTATATCAGATTTTCTTTCCTTTCTAATATAACATTAAAATAAATTTATTATGTATAATGAAATATTATTATTGGTATGAAACGGAGTGTTAAATTATTTAGAGTCGAGCCATAGATATAAAAGCAATTTCAATTGCTTATTGATATTTCCCAAACCTATAATTTGCCCATTATATGTTTTATCTTATTTACAATTTTTATTATTTTTGAAAAAAAATTAAAAAAAAAATTAAAAAAAAAAAAGAGAAACAAAAGAGAAACAAATCATCTCAATTACCTAGCTACTGACACCTTATATTACCAGATTTCTATCTGTTACATTGTTTTGATCAATGCTTTTACTTCTCTACTGTCTGTCTTTCTGTCTTTCTTTGTTTCTTTCTATCCATTTACATTGTACCTCTCTTTATTTATTTTCTTGTTTCTCTATATCAGATTTTCTTTCCTTTCTAATATAACATTAAAATAAATTTATTATGTATAATGAAATGTATATGTTATTGTAATGTGAAAAATAAACCAATAAAAAAAATTCAATATCAATCAATTTATTTGATATAAAAAGTAAAATTTATTATAGTACATGTATCCTTAATAGTAGTACCTTTTAACCCTTTCACCCCTAGGTAACTTTAGTGGACTCTTCCATGCATTTATTGTGATGAATCCATTATGGTCTACAGGGGTGAAAGGGTTAAACTTTTACAGTTAGAGTGGCCAGAAAAACATGAGATCCTTTTGTTTTAATTCAGGCATTAGTTCTTCTATGATGCACGAATGATACTTCTGATAAAAAAAACACATTAAAAAAACATTTTCAGCAGGATTCATCAGTTTGGAAATATGTAATGTAAAAGTTAAACTTTATACACAAACAATGTAGGTATTAAACAGTTTCGAGACTGACTGGTTCCTTTGTCATAGTCCCAGTCATTGCTTGACAAAGGGACCAGCCAGTGACCAGTCAGTCTCAAAACGCTGAGACACATTCAATACCTACATCGTTTGTGTATAAAGTAAAACTTTGATATCAACTTTGATTGTAATAATAAATTGAAGAGGGGATATGCAGCGATTTGGGGAAAATGTAGCCTAAATAATGCTGTCTATGAAAACAAAACTGAAGAATCACTTAATCACTGATTGGAGACATCTAACTCATAACTTAAGAATGCTTGCCGATCCTCCTTGACAACTTGTGTGGTGAAGCTGTGATTCTTTTCTATGTAATACTGAATCAAATTAATGACCTTTTTCTTATCCTTGCCAAGCTCTTCGAACGGCTGAAGTTCTTGTCGTTTCTGAAGACTATATAGATAGACCAACAAAACCTCTGGAGAGTGACAAACCACTAATGGGCATGATGCTATTTCTTCAAAACTAAACCCAAAACTATTTAAACATTTCAAATTTTCTGTAACATCTTTTTCATGCACAACAATAAGCTCTTTGAGTTCTTTATCTATTCTGGGTTCTGTCAAATATTCATAGAATTCACCGTGAACGGACGTTTGAGATTTGGGATAAATCCTTCCGTAATATTTGAAGGTTAAAATTTTCTTTATATTCAGTTGGTCAAATTTCACTCCTGTCCGTTTGAGATGCCAGAGGAGTGCAACCAGTCGACTGAAACTGAAAGCATTCAACTGGTTCTTATGTTTGTCAATATCCTCTGCAGGAAACGTAAGTCCTTCACTTTTAAAGAAATTCAAAACATTTGCCTTCTTTGATAGTAAAGGATTCCAGTTCAGTTTAAATTCAGCTGGTGGCAGGAGCATTTGTTTTCTTCGACTTTCTTCTTTCTTTTTTTTCTCTTTCATTCTATAATGTTCCAACCTTTTCAATTCCTTCAATCTTAATACCACCTGGCGTCTTTGCAATGCATACTGTAAAAGAAGAAACAGCTCTGTATGTATACGAACAGAAGACCATAAAATAGAAATTTAACTCATTCACCCCTGAGGACACATTTGAACTCTTCCAGTTCAAAGGTTGGAATAGTTTATTATAAAATTTCAGGGGCAAATGAGTTTTGGCAACTGAATCGTTATATTTCAATAATCTCTCATATACTGCTTTGTTTTATCTACATTTTACTTACATAAAAAGTACATATTGACTCGCCGGTAGGCAGTCAATTCTTTTTATTAAAAAATGCCCCAAGATAAAAATATCCAGAGTTTGTACAGAGATGACAAGTACACACATGTTCTACTCAGATACACCCTGTCAATTCATGCCTAGTTAAAAAACATTTTAGCAAAAAACGTTTATTCCACCTATATGTAGGAATGACAAAGAAATTATGGGGTAATTTGAAACCATGAGAAAAATAAATCAATTTAACGACACAGTAAGTTTCACAACAAAAGCGGTAAAAGTTTCGTTTCATTATTTTGTTGGAGTGTAAAAAATTAGGATAAGTAATCCTGAAAATAACTATCAAATTGTTACGGCCTTACAATTATTTTTAGAAACTAAAATATTTTAATAAAGCCTAAGTTTGTTTTGAACACAAACAGAAATTGACAACTAATATTGCAAACTTTCAAAAAAGTCTGCTTCCGTTGTCAAGCAAAGAGTGTAAATGACTGATGTCTCGACTGTACCCCACTGAAAACACCTCACTAAGCCTCAGTGGGCCGAATCCGTAAAGTAAGCTGTCGAAAATCATAGAGACATTTCACCCAGTTGCACTCTAATACTGCAGGCAGTCAGGGCAGGAGTGACATGTTTACCCATTCCACACCTGAGCTATTTTAAGGTTTTATACCACTTTTTTCACCTCAATGCCACGAGAAAAAACTTTCTAATGCTGGCATACAAGTATATGGCGCACTCTGGATCTCATGGCCGCCCAAACATCAAACAATTTTTAAGGGCCCTTGTACAACTGAAAGCAAATCACAAGCACTAGAGAATCCACTGTAGTTTTTTTCACAAAACAGTAAACTCCCCTAAATTTTGATTCAGATATAACTACAGTGCCTTTCGGCTAGTGAACTTATTACTGACCCTGAAGCACAGAGGTTAGAGTGACAGTATACTGATCAGAGATAGTAAACTCCCCTTAATTTTGATTCAGATATAACTACAGTGCCTTTGGGTTAGTGAACTGAGTATATGTACTGACCCTGTAGCACAGAGGTTGGAGTGACAGTATACTGGTCAGAGATAGTAAACTCCCCTAAATAGTGATTCAGATATAACGACAGTGCCTTTGGGCTAGTGAACTGAGTATATGTACTGACCCTGTAGCACAGAGGTTGGAGTGACAATATACTAATCATAGACAGTAAACTCCCCTTAATATTGATTCAGATATAACGACAGTGCCTTTGGGCTAGTGAACTGAGTATATGTACTGACCCTGTAGCACAGAGGTTGGAGTGACAGTATACTAATCATAGACAGTAAACTCCCCTTAATAGTGATTCAGATATAACGACAGTGTCGCCTATGGGCTAGTGAAATTAGTACTGACCCTAGCCCTGTAGCACAGAGATTAGAGTGACAGTATACTAATCAGAGATAGTAAACTCCCCTTAATCTTGATTCAGATATAACGACAGTGTCTATAGCTAGTGAACTTAGTACTGACCCTATAGCCCTGTAGCACAGAGGTTAAAGTGACAGTATACTGATCAGAGACAGTTAACTCCCCTTCATTTCGATTCAGATAAAACGACAGTGCCTATGGCTAGTGAACTTAGTACTGACCCTAGCCCTGTAGCACAGAGGTTAGAGCGACAGTATACTGTTCAGAGATAGTAAACTCCCCTTAATATTGATTCAGATATAACGACAGTGCCTTTGGGTTAGTGTTCATGTCTTGTAACAGGATATCATTGTGTTTATGTCTTGTAACAGGATATCCTAGTGTTCATGTCTTGTAACAGGGTATCCTTGTGTTTATGTCTTGTAACAGGATATCCTTGTGTTCATGTCTTGTAACAGGATATCCTTGTGTTCATGTTTTGTAACAGGATATCCTTGTGTTCATATCTTGTAACAGGATATTGCCTTTGGGCTAGTGAACTGAGTGATATCCTTGTGTTCATGTCTGAACAGGATATCCTTGTGTTCATGTCTTGTAGCAGGATATCCTTGTGTTCATGTCTTGTAACAGGGTATCCTTGTGTTCATGTTTTGTAACAGGATATCCTTGTGTTCATATCTTGTAACAGGATATCCTAGTGTTCATGTCTTGTAACAGGATATCCTAGTGTTCATGTCTTGCAACAGGATATCCTAGTGTTTATGTCTTGTAACAGAATATCCTAGTGTTCATGTCTTGTAACAGAATATCCTTGTGTTCATGTCTTGTAACAGGATATCCT